CCTCAACTCCACGGGGTGCTGGAGACCCCTCCATCCAAGAGTGACCTCCCAGCAAACCCCCCTGTGCAGGGCCAGCCCAGGGGTGGGGTTGGGGACAGGAGGGGACGGTGGTGGTGTCCCCTCACCAGCACTTTCCCGTTGATGCACTGGGCCAGGGGCAACCACTCGAAGACCTCGCTGAAGAGGGCGAACATCTGCGCCGTGTACTTGGCCTTCACCTCCCCCTCGAAGCCGTAGATCTGGTTCATGTTGTCCGTCTCGTGGTTCCCTGCGAGGACGTGGTGGCATTGCCATGCCCCGGGGACATGGGGTAGGTGACAAAACCCCCAAGACAGGGCCCTGTAACCCAGCAGGGGACATGGGGACACAGGATGTGACCCCATAACTAAGGAGAGGAAACCAAATCCCGCGAGCTGGGACAGATGATGTGGCTCCATGAGCCGGTCCCACGGCTGGGGACAGGGGACACGAGGCCCCAGAAGTGGGGACAAGGTCCAACGAGTCAGGTGGAGGGGGAGGGGACAAGGATTTGTCACCCTCAGTGGCCGTGTTACCTCGGAGCAGGTGGAAGTGATCAGGGTAGAGGAGCTTGAAGCCGAAGAGCGTGAGGATGACCTCGACCGAGAAGGACCCGCGGTCCACGAAGTCCCCGTTAAATATCTGCAGTCGGCTCAGGAAAATGGTTCCCCATGTCCCTGTCCCCTCGTGTCACCTCCCCCTGTCCCTGTCCCCACCACAGGGGGTGGCACTGATCCCCCTCCCGGAGGGATACGTAAGGGTTGGACTCGGAAGGAAGCCCGTTGAGCTCGAAGATGTTCAGAAGGTCGTAGTACTGCCCGTGGGTGTCCCCGCACACCGTCACCTTCTCTGTCTGTGTCGGGGACAAGTCAGGGTGGAACGTCACAGCTTGGGGACTTCATGTCCCCGACCCCCAGCGGCGCCAGCACCCGGTGAGGAGCACCCACCTCCTTCAACGTCGTTTCTACTAACGTGGGGAGCTTGGCCAGCACGTCCTTCACCTGCACCAGGATCTGTGGGGACAAAGGGTCAGCAGAGGTGATGAGGAAGGGGGACATGTGGCACTTGGGGACAGGACAGAGCCCAAGAGGAGACTGGGAGGAGACTGGGAGGAGACTGGGGTACCTGGTAAGCACATTTTCTGTGGAGTTTCTTCTGCTCCTTGTACCACTGCATCAGGTCTTTCATGAAAGCCAACGTCACCTTGCCACCATCCAGCTTGGGACCGCTGTACTCGTCCTCGATGGCTGCAAAACAACCCCCCCCCATGGCCAATGACACAAGGGGACAATGGGGACAAGTTCTCAAAGGGTCATCATGGCCTTGCTGTCCTACCCTGCAAGCTCACAGCCCCTCATGAACCCCAGAAGCATCTGGGGATGCTGAGTCTTGGCTGAGGACAATAAAGCTCTGCTGGGCACCCTCATGAGGACCCCAAGACCCTCATGGGGACACCAAGACCCTCACAAGGACCATCATGGAGACACTGAGACCTTCACAGGGACAATAAGATGCTCATGGGGACCCCAACACTCTCATGGGGACCCCAAGACCATCATGGGGACACCAAGATCAGCAGAGGGATCCTCAGGGAGACCCTCATGGGGACACCAAGACCCTTACGGGGACCATCACGGAGACCCTGAGACCCTCATGGGGACACCAAGACCCTCACAAGGACCGTCATGGAGACCCTGAAACCCTCATGGGGACACCAAGACCCTCACAAGGACCATCATGGAGACCCCGAGACCCTCATGGGGACACCAGGATCCTCACAAGGACCATCACAGAGACCCCAAGACCCTCACTGGTACACCAAGACCCTCACAGGACCCTCATGGGTACCTTGAGACCTTCATGGGGATACCAAGACCCTGACAAAGATGATCATGGAGGCCCCAAGACCCTCACAGGGAGACCAAGACCTTCATGGAGACCCTCATGGTGATCCCAAGCCTCTGCTGGAGATCTTCATGGGTGCCCCAAGACCCTCGTGGGGACCCCAAGACCCTCCCAGGGACCATTCTGGGTAACCTGAGTGTCTGCTTGGTATCCACATGGTGTCACCCATGGTCCCCTAAGACCCTCCTGGAGACCCTCAAGGCTGTCGTTGGGACCCAGAGCCTCCACTGGACCCCCAAGATCCTCCCAGTTGACCCTCAACTTTTGACAGGGATCCTCACAGGGACCTTGAACCTCTACTGGGGACTCTCAAAGAGACCCCAACACCCCCATGGAGACCCCAAACCTCCACTAGGGACCTTCACAGACCCCCACAGGGACCTTGAGCCTTTGCTGAGGACACTCATGGTCCCCCTAAGACCCACACAACCCTCACCCCCCACCCTAAAAATCTTGATGAAGACCACCAAGAGGCTCATGAGACCCTTGGAGACACTGAGACCTTCACAGGGACAATAAGATGCTCATGGGGACCCCAAGACTCTCATGGGGATGCCAAGACCATCATGGGGACACCAAGATCAGCAGAGGGATCCTCAGGGAGACCCTCACAGGGACACCAAGACCCTTATGGGGACCCTCATGGGGATGCCAAGACCCTGACAAGGACCATCATGGAGATCCTGAGACCCTCATGGGGACACCAAGATCCTCACAAGGACCATTACGGAGACCCCAAGACCCTCATGGGGACCCCAAGACTCTTATGGGGATGCCAAGACCATCACGGGGACCCCAAGACCATCATGGGGACACCAAGATCCTCACAAGGACCATCATGGAGACCCTGAGACCCTCATGGGGACAATAAGATGCTCATGGGGACCCCAAGACTCTTATGGGGATGCCAAGACCCTCACAGGGACCCCAAGATCATCATGGGGATCCTCAGGGAGACCCTCAAA